AGGTTTTGGGGCTGCCAAGAACATGAGTTTTCCTCTCCCTGGCGCGGCCCTACCCCTCTCCCTCCTCGTCTCTCGCAGTGCTTGGCGAAGCCCTGCTGGAGTGCCACGCTCCTCCATCACCACCACGCCATTGTGCTGCTGCTGGACGGAGTCTTCCCCATCCTCTCCCTCTCTCCTTGCTGGATCAAGGCACGGGAGACGTCACCGGGCTGTACGTGCGTTGGACGTGGAGGCACCGTTCTTCGGTGCTTAGATCGGATTCGGCCGCGATCTGAATCACTTCGTGAACGACTCCACCGATTGCGTTCTTGTAACGCTTCCGCATCGCAATCTTCAAGGGTATGAAGATGCACTCCCCTCTCTCTCGTTGCTAGTATCTCCATAGATTGATCTTGGTGATGCGTAAAATTTTTTGAATTTCTGCTACGTTTCCCAACACGTTGGGTCCACTACTGACCCAAATAAAAAAAGACCATCGCGTTGGGTTGCTCTTAGTCCAACTCCACCGCGCGGGCCCATTCTGTCTGGCCCCGTCCGTTTGGGGTAAAATGAACAAACCGGGCGGCCCAGCGCGCGATGGCCCGGACCCATCTTGTCCGTTTTGTGTCCGGGCCGACCCATTTCGAGCGCAAACTTGCGCCGGGTTTGGGTCGCGACGGACAGCAAACGGACGCGCGCTCGTCCGCGTCGGGGCCGCTTGGCATGCGGCCACCTACCTCCCACCCGCCAACATCAATGCGCACATGCGGGTGGCCCCACCTGTCATCCGCCCAGCGAACGGTCGCCGTCCTTCTTAAATGGGAAATCGTGGACCGGTCGTCGTCCACACTTCTCACTCTGGCCCCTCTCCGCCCCCTCGAAAGCCGACACTCCCAAACCCTAGCCGCTCCCCGTCCTTGAACTCGCCGGCCGGCCGCAACCATGGGGCTATGGAACTACGGCCGCAAGGGAAAGCACGACCGCGAGGCCGGCTCCTCCTCGGGACGCCGCCGCGGCTCCGTGAAGAAGGAGGAGCCCGAATCACCGCCGCGCTCCTCCCGTCGAGCCCCCGCGCTGGCCCCCTTCACCATCGCCCCTAGGCCCGCCGACGAGCGCGACCGGCAGTACCTCTGCGCCGATGTGTGCCGGCGCTACTGGGAGACGAGGACGCCGGTCCTGTGGAGCAACGTCCACCTCCCCAACAATTGGCACCTCTCCGCCGACCGGGTCCCGATCCCGCCGGTGCCGACGAGCGGCCGTGCGCGCCGCGATGAGATCGAGCGCCGCTGCCGCCTCCTTCCCGACGACCTCTACTTCGACGATATGTACGCCCCTGATTCCGGCCTCTGGGACACCTGGCTCCAGGACGAGCACGACACGTGACGCGCGTCCTACTTCGTCGGCACAGTATCGGGGCCGCGACGGCCACGTCGGTAGGTGCGCAGGCGTACGCGGGTGCACGGCCTCACGCCCACGCCGTCGCCTTCCCTATCTCCGTCACCACCTCCACCTCCTCGCATGACAGCGGAGGAGGAGGCCCGGCTCATGCAGCGTGTCATGGAGGATTTCATGAACACACACGATGAGCGCCAATGGCTGGGCCTCGAGGAGACGATGGCCCTCTCTGCGGCCGGCGACTTCGCCATCCCCGAGCTGGATATGGTGGCGGAGGAGGAGCCGATGGAGGACGGGCCGGTGGCCGCGTTCCACGCGGATCTGGTGGGCCAGCACTGGAGCTGGTCGTGCACGGCTCTGGAGATGGCCGACGCCATGGGGGGCGTGAACTGGTGCCCCACGCCGCCGCGGTCACCGGAGCGGGAGGCCTCGTCACGGGAGTAGGTGGTGCAGGCACCTCCCGCCTTCCAGCCCGTCCCTCGTGTACCACGCGCCGCCGTCCCACCTTTGGATGCCGCCGGCCTAAGTCGACCTCGTCAGCGACGACGACGACACCGGCGCCCCGTGAAGACGGCGACGACGACGGCATCGACAGGCGCGGCAGGAGCACGCGGGCGGCGTTTTTTATTTTGTTTTTATGTTAATTATGTCATTGGGCTGTTAAGTGAACTGTTAAACTGGGTCATTTTGTGGCCGTGACCCCGAACTAATGTTTTATGTTTTTTACTGCGTTTATTTATTTTTTTAGTCATTTCATTTACGTTTTTATGTCTTTTTTAATCATATCCACGCGGACATGATTTGTGGTCCGGCCACGCGGCGGATGCACACACGATCCAACAGACAAGACCGGACACGGGCGAACTCATTGCCGTGCTAAAGAGACAAAATCCAGCCAAATCAGACGTCCGTTTCCGGTTGTGCGGTGAAGTTGTCCTTACGCTCGCTGGCGCACCGGCATCCGACGAACTCCGGCACAGCACGCACTCACGTCACGCGCTCCACCCATGACACGACGAGCTTGCGTCGCATCGCCCTTCCGGTCTCCCACCGGCCGCCACCACCGCGGCACCAACCCCGAAAGGCCAAAGCGCTCGGCCAGGAGGCAAAACCGCAAAAGACGAGCCAAGGCAACCGATCACTCGCCGACTCCTGGGCCCCGCCTGCTACCTCCGCTTCGCCGCCTCCACCAACTCGCCTCCTTCAAAATTGTTATTCCCGAGAAATAAAACACCCTCGACGTCCCACCTCGCCGCCTCCGCCCAACGAACCCGACGACCTCCTCCACGCCGCCGCCGCCGCCGCCGCGATATAATAAAACCCGGCCTTGGCGCCTCCCCTCCCGCCAACCTCTCAGGATGGCCCACCATCTCCTCCTCCCCTCCAAGCCCCTCCTGCCCGCCGCGGCCGCCGCCACCCCGCGCCGCGGCTGCGGTCGCCCCGTCGTCTCCGTCCGCGCGTCGGTGGTTGCCTCTTCGAAGGCCGCCGGGGCGGAGGCCGTGCGGTCGATCCGCGCGCGGCAGATCGTGGACAGCCGGGGGAACCCCACCGTCGAGGTCGACCTCGTCGCCGGCGACGGCAGCCTCCACCGCTCCGCCGTTCCCAGCGGGGCCTCCACGGGGATCTACGAGGCCCTCGAGCTCCGCGACGGGGACAAGTCGGTCTACGGAGGGAAGGGCGTGCTCACCGCCGTTCGCAACATCAACGAGGTCATCGCGCCCAAGCTCGTCGGCGTCGACGTGAGGTGAGAGCTTGGTTAAGACTTAAGAAACGAAATCTCAAGCTAGTCTCAGAAAAATGCTGGATCCAATCACCCGTGGCCCCGGTAGTTATTTACTCCCTCCATCCCGTAATGCAAGACGTTATTGCAATTTACAACCAATATACACGGGGAGTATTTGTTTGTTTGAGTAATGCGGCTACGGTAGTTGGGTGGGGAAACGTGGTGTTGTGCACTTGCTATACATTCATGATCTTTTGGCCGTGGTGATAACTATTGATTTTCAAGTAGAAGTACAATGTACTGAGATTGATGTGATCGGGTGTTTGCCCACGTTTAGTGAGAATCGGGTTGCTCATTAGTGCTTAATACTGTGGAGTACTAGTGTTTAGGTAATGAAAAAACTTATGGCAGTTGCTTCTGGGCTTTGTATGCATACTCTGTGAACTTTAAACATCTGACTGTTGTTCATGTTTATTGATGAGCTTGCTATTCTTGCTATGCTAGTTATGATATTTGGTTCAAATCCTGCTGCTGTTGCCACTGACCGACCGTCTTATCCTAAAATGATAAAATCCTGTACAGATATAAAACTGTCAAAACTAGACATCTTTCGTAGTTCCTGGGCAAATGAAAAAGATATAAATATAAATTTCAAACAGTTTTGCTAAAGCACATCTAGATGTGCTCAAAGTATTGCACATCTATGTCCTATGTCATTGATTTTACGCTAAGATTCGTGCAAGCATTTTCTTTTGTATTTTTCCTTTTCCTTTTCTAGATGTGCCCTAGACAGAATTCAAACCTCCAAGAGTCAAGATCCACACTTCTAAAACAAGATAATACCGAACACTAGATATGTCTTCGCAACCAGTTGTTTAGCATGACTATCAGTTTCTGCGAAGCTCCCTCTTTAAGCTAGTTGATATCTGTAATGAAGTTAACCTTTGCTAAGCATATCAATTTAGTGGCTTCGTAGATTTGTACTGATCTAGCTGTGATTACTGAAGTTTCCACTCTGGAACACTTTTTTTTCCTAAATATGAAGTGGAGATTGTAAGTAGTAGTACTGCTGGACAGGGTGCATCTTTTGTGTATCCATGATGTTGTTAAATGCAAGATTACTTGCGCACTTGGTCAAATAAGCTCTAACTGCTTTTCTGTTTGTGGCGATGTGGTAGTAGGCTCTGCATGATGAAGAATTGGTGATCAATATGCAAGGAAATCAAATCAATTGAGCTCTTGCTCAAGAAGAATCTACTTTTTTCTGTTTGTCGTAGTAGCCACTGCATGGTTACAGTTGTACTGCCTACCATGTCCCATGTTAGCTAAACTTTTGCATTTGCCTTCCTTATTAGTATGGATTGGTAAATTTATATCTTCAGCAGTCTCAGTGCACTTTTCTAATGGATGGCATGGTAGTTCTCAAGTTTGTCTTCTTTGGTATTTTTCTTGTGATAATAATGGTACAATATGTGGAGCATGCCTCATTGGAAGGGACATAAGAACTACATTGGGCACATTAAGTGCATATTACAAAATTACAAGTAACACCCAGTTCTAATGCTGAAAACTAAAAGATATTTGGATATACCTAACCACAGTTTCTGGCCGGCTTGATTCCCTAAATTTGCAAAGGATGAAATTAAATGGATTACTTGGAATCGGGCATGACCGCATGGAGGGAACTATGCGATTCCACTACTTCCAAAGTGACCAAACCTTACTAGGGTATAAAGGCATGCCAATTAACATAAATTGTGCTATTGCCTTTGCTAGCTTGCATCCAAATAGCTGAGGTTCTGTCAATTTACTGTTATCATCGGTTCTCTGTGCCTGGCATCTAATTTGTAATGCAAACTTCATTTGTCATTTTGTCAGGAACCAGAAAGATGTTGATGCGATCATGCTTGACATTGATGGAACTGAAAACAAATCACAGTTGGGTGCCAATGCTATTCTTGGAGTCTCTTTAAGCGTATGCAGGGCCGGTGCTTCTGCAAAAGGAGTTCCTCTGTATAAACATATTCAGGAGCTTTCAGGCACCAAGGAGCTTGTCATGCCTGTCCCAGCTTTCAATGTAATAAACGGAGGTAGCCATGCTGGTAATAATCTGGCTATGCAGGAATTCATGCTTTTACCCGTGGGGGCAACTTCATTTGCCGAGGCTCTTCGTATGGGCAGTGAAGGTAATCTATTGTATTTTCTTGACCTACACCGTTTTACCTCTTAGTGCATTTCATCTTGGTTGTGACCTGTAAATTATCACTATTATCCAGCAAGCATTTCTTTGGGGGCTGTTTCTTCTAGACTTTTGCTCTTTTTTTTGTCTGTTCCATCTTTAATCCTCACTGAGAGTTGTCTGCTTCACTTGTCCATTTTACAGTTTACCATGTTCTTAAGGGCATCATTAAGGCGAAATACGGTCAAGATGCATGCAATGTTGGAGATGAAGGTGGTTTTGCTCCTAATGTTCAAGACAACAGGGAGGGCCTTGTTTTGCTTATGGATGCCATTGAGAAAGCAGGCTACACTGGAAAGGTGGGTTGCCATTTTTCTTATTTTACTGGCACCTTCTCGATCACTCTTTCCTCTTTCAATTTATAAAACTGAGAAAAACATCGTGTTGCAGATTAAAATTGGAATGGATGTTGCAGCATCAGAATTCCTTATGAAGGATGGAAGCTATGATTTAAACTTTAAGAACCAGCCTAATAATGGAGCTCATGTTCTTTCGGCCCAGTCTCTCTGTGATCTGTACAAAGAATTTGTCAAGGATTTCCCTATTGTATCAATTGAGGATCCTTTTGATCAAGATGATTGGAGCTCATGGGCTTCGTTGCAATCCTCGGCTGATATCCAAATTGTCGGCGATGATTTGCTTGTCACAAACCCAAAACGTATAGTAGAGGCTATTGACAAGAAGGCCTGCAACGCTCTGTTACTTAAGGTAAACTTTTACTGTCTATTTCATGCGTGCGTATTTACAACGGACTAATGGTATTCATTCCTTGTACTCCCTCCGTCCCAAAATATAAGATCATTTTGAACACTATCATAGTGTACAAAATTATATTATATTTTTGGGAAGGAGGGAGTTTTTGATGAACATAGCTGTGGCAATCTTTTAGTGATATTTGCCACATAGTTCACATGTACAGTAGTTTCTTTGTTGTTATAATAACCAACAATAATGCAAAGCAGTGCCTACCACCAAGTTCCTAGCTCCCTTCTAATACTGAACGCTAGTAAGCCATGATAAATCTTGTGCTGCTGAAGAGAAACATGGTTAATTCAATTTCGTTTGTCTTTCCAGGTTAATCAGATCGGTACGGTCACGGAATCTATTCAAGCTGCTCTGGATTCAAAGGCTGCTGGTTGGGGCGTGATGGTCAGCCACAGGAGTGGTGAAACAGAAGACAATTTCATCGCGGATCTAGCTGTTGGTTTAGCGAGCGGGCAGGTAAGGGCCACCAGAAATTGTAGTCGTGGCACAGCAGTAGTTCTATCTGTGTTCATCCGGTGACATCTCATTGGTACGTTTCAGATCAAAACTGGAGCTCCGTGCAGAAGCGAGAGACTGGCCAAATACAACCAGGTAAATACGCTTATTCCTGTCTGTCAAGTATTTACTGTACGAACAGCAATTATCCAACTGATTGTGCTTCCGGTTGTAATGTTACCACTCACTAATAAATATGTTCTTCTTTGATGCAGCTTGTGCGGATTGAAGAGGAGCTAGGCAACGTGCGGTACGCCGGCGAAGCGTTCAGGTCTCCATGAGAAACCCAGAATCACAGACCACTTTGACTGGAGCAGTAAAAGTTTCTACAGCGGCGACAGTGGTGTACTGTGTACATCCTTCGATTAGAAATAAAGGCACCGACCGTATAAATTCATGACATCTCCTTGTAGGAGTGCCGCGGCGCACCCCAAATTTTGCAGCCTTGATTTTATCGCAGATGCATGGCATTATTATCTGCATTTGTACCCCGAGCTATTATACATTTTGCTTGACGGACGACAGCGATGATCAGATTAGTTATTGCTTCTGGCTAGGGTTACAACATGTAGCAACAGGTACTAGGGCACAGGACGCACGATTGTACTACTACATGAGTTGAACGGAGCCCGGCCACACGCGCTCAGACGCATGAATTGCGACGCGATGCTTACCCACCGCATTGCGGTAGAGATGCGAGCTTGAACAGGCCGACGTAGGGCGTGTCGACGGAGCCGATCCACAGCGACCCGTTCCGCTCCACCACCTCGCTCACCGTGGCGTCGCCGAACCCGTGCAGCGCCTCGACCACCGTGCCGTTCGTGGCGTCTCCGGCGACGACGACCCTGACGGCGCTCATGGAGTTGGCCGTGGTCCCGCTCTCTGCCCACTGCTTGTCCCGGTTCATGCCCACCCAGTACCCGCCCCGGCCGCCTCCGTCGGGGCGCACGTTGTCCGGGTACCCCGGCAGGTCGGCGAGCACCTCGGTCTCCCCCGCCGCCGGCCCGCGCAGCCAGTGCCGGAGCAGCCTGCACGAGGACGTCTCGGCCACGACGAGGTGCGTCCCGTCGGCGCTGACGGCCACGCCGTTGGGGAAGGCCAGTCCGGACCTGAGCACGGTGACGTTGCCCGTCTGCGGGTCGTACCTCATCAGCCGCCCCGTCGCGTCGCCGGTCAGCACCACCAGCATGTACTCGCTGCAGGCACAACACAAACATATGATTAGGGAAAACAGAAGCTGCATGCACCACTTCTGACCGGTTATGAATGCGCGTGAATTCATTACGTATCAAGCTCATCTACTGCTCCTCCACGTGAGGGCTGGCTACTGTGGCGATCTTCTGGCTCTTCCCGACAGGGCTTTAACCCTGCTGAGCAGCTTGGTAGCAGCCGTAGAGCCGTAGAGAAGCACTAGCGGCAGCAGGAGTATTTACTGTGATCTCGATCAGACGAGACTGACGAGTACTACTAGTAGTACTAGCGGTAGCAGGAGTATTTACGTTGTTGCTGTTTGATAGTACTCCCTTCGTTCGGAAATACTTGTCGGAGGAATGGATGTATCTAGACGTATTTTAGTTCTAGATACATTCATTTTTATGCATTTCTCCGACAAGTATTTCAGGACGGAGGGAGTATTAAGTAACCCTATCACCTCCCTCAAATTCAAGGGACATTGCAGTATGGCACAGCTTGATAATCTGTATTTTTCCAGTCACTTTCAACAAGTGTTGCTAAAAGAATGTTCTGCGTGCGGTGTGGTGGTATTAATAGTGGCTACCGAGCGTGGTGTTGCTTCCGCCAGATCGGAAACATCTTGGATTTGGATATGCTCGCCAGCTTGAATTGCCGATAGCTAGGAATTAATGCCCACTATATCTGTTCTTCCAAGTTCCAACTGTTTTTTTTTTGCGGGGTTCCAACTGGTCTTTCTTTTTTGCCCCAATAGCTAGCCTACCCACATATGTAATGCAGTGCAACAAAACTAGTGTCAAACACCTTAAATGCTACACTGAGAGCCTGTTTGAAATCCTTCCACTCCGCAACTCCGCTCCGGAGCGGAACGGCATGTAGTTGTAATTTGGGGAGCTGCTAACCCGGCACTCCACTCTGCCCTGGAAGAGTGGAGTCTTGCCGAACAGGGCCTAAGTATGTGTCGAGAGTTGGAGAACAGACGCATTGTCATGATTCATCTTTGTCAGGGGTGCTAATCCGGCAGAGTACACGGCTGGCGCGTAAGAACTTTTGCTAGTGAAAAATTTCAAGCTTTATCAGCATTCATTCCAAGCGAATCGACCACGGTTTTATAGTTAAACTTAAGCCGCGGTTGTCCACGTGTTTTAAGCCGTGGAATCGTCCGTGCCATCATACAAGAACAAGGTATACCTGCTGGCTTTTCGCAGATAAAATTCAGTTTCACTTTACCCATTCCGAATCAGCGTGCAAATTACTCGACGTTTTCATCAGCTCATCACCAACAGTGTACTACTGTATATCAATTCCGGTCACATGCTCGTTTTATACTTTTATTACTGCAGTACTGGGGTAGTAGTAGTAATGAATTTGGGTACGGTGCGTACCTCCGTTGGTAGACGGTGCTGCTGTCCGTGAAGTAGACGTCGCCGGTCTCCTGGTCGACGTCGACCCCGTTGAGGAAGTTGAAGGGCAAGCCGTCGGCCTCCGTGGCGACCACCTCCGCGAGCCCGCCGCACCGCCCCACCCTCATCAGCCCCAGGTACGCGTCGGCGATGTACATGTCGCCCGACGCGTGGTGGAACTGCAGGCCCAGCGGCCGCCCGCACGCGCTCTCCGGCTCCACCAGCTTCCTCTTCGCCGCGCACTCCGCCATCGTCCTGCGTGTTCGGTTAGCTCACGATCGTGCTGTGCCAAGGCTGTGCATGGTCCATTGATCGATCACTCACTTGTGCTTGTAGTTGTGGGCGAACTCGGTCCAGCCGCGGTGGCGGCGGTTGCCCCTCCACCGAAGGACGCGGCCGTCGGAAACACCGGTGTACGGACCACCGCCGCGGTGGTCAAAGACGATGCTCTCCGGGCCGAACGCCGGCCGGGCCAACCGCACCGGTATGACCCTCGAGCCGGCGTAAATAGACTTCATCTCCTGGGTGGCGGCCGCCATTGGAGGTAGCCATACGAGAAATGCGAGGGAGAGGAAGGACCTGAGCAAAGTGGCAGAGCGACAATGCGTGGCCTCCTCCATGTCCGTTAATTTGAGAAGGAGCGGCGGCGGCGTATGCCTTCTTATATAAGCTGTCAGGGCTTGCTCCAGCCTTCTGGTAGGCATGTAATAATGGAGAAGCTAGATGCAGCGCGCTGTTCGGTCGTGGTTTAGTGTAACTAGAGTATGAGGTTTATGGGGGTAAGATTTTCAATTCAGGGCCACGATTTTCTTTTTTTTAGCTTGTTATAGAGGGAGTTTTTACTGACCGACAAGTCATATCAAGTCGATACAATGAAGAATGTATCCCTCTAATAAGTCATTTGTGCAAAGGCTACCATGAAAAAAAAAAGCTTTTAGTAGTGATCAAAAATGTATTTCTACATCTAAAAAAAGTGTATTTCTAAAGAGTACAACGTAAGATACACGCGTGCAAAAATCACATGTATACATTTACACGGTGTCTACTATAGCCCATAAGTATCGCGTTCTAAGATTGACAGAGTCTACACCAATTTTTTTAGGGAGCTACCTTATACTCATTCTGAAATCCCAGCGTCCCTGGCACGACACACTGCAATGGTTCATTTTTAGGGATTTTAGCATGGCTGAGCATTTTCAGAATTTTGGACCAGAGGAAA